TCTCCTGTATTTCTCTGGTCATGTCGTCGAGTCTCTTGTTGTTTGTCTCCATAATTAGTTGCACGAAGCCTTTGAAGTTTTCCTGTTGTTGGTTCATCAGCGCGATGTACATCTGTTTCTGCTGATCCACAATGTCTGTTACTTGCGCTGCTCTGTGATACACTTCTTCTGCCTCCATATCCTCATTCGCATGCAATTTATTAGCTCTTTTCCCTCTTTGAGGCATTTTAATAGTTGTGGAATTTGTTCCAAGACTTGAAAGTGTAGAAGATGTGAAAAATTGTAGAACAGACAAGAGGGGCAGTAAAGATGTCTGAGGTCTCAAGTGCAGCTGTCAGTGTTGAAAATGGCAAGTGGACAAGCTTAACAGAACTGATTTTCCCTGGCTCGACAGTGTGTGGTGTTTGAGTTGGGCTGCACTTTGTTGACACTGAAGCAGTATTTGTTGCTAATGGTTTTAGCAAGAATTTTAAGGCAAATATTTGTTAACTTTTTGCCAAATAAATGAAAAGCTTTACTAACTAACTAAACAAATAAGTAAGTACTGCACCAAAAACAGGTCCCCTTATGAAAAGAGAAAAATCAAGGACCGTGACGCCACCCGGTATAGCGCAAACGGAACACCACCCTGGAGCCAGGCCCGAGGTTGGGGCTCGAACACAAGCGCCTGGTGGCCGGGCCTTTTCCTACAGGGCCCAGCTGGGCTTAGCCCAAACGAGCAACGCGGGGACGTCCTCTCGTGGGCCCACCACCTACAGGAGGATCCGTAAGGGACCGGTGCATAGTGGATTGGGCAGCGGTAGAAGGCAGGGGCCCCGGCGACCCGATCTCTGGACACAGAGACTAGCCCTGGGGACGTGGAATGTCACCTTGGTGGTGGGGAAGGAGCCCGAGCTTGTGCAGGAGGTTGAGAGGTACCGGCGAGATAGTCAGACTCACCTCCACGCACACACAGATTCAGGAGGAACAATGCGGTTTTCGTCCTGGCCACTGAACACTGGACCAGCTCTATACCCTCTTCAGGGTGGTGGAGGGTTCATGGGAGTTTGCCCAGTCCACATGTATTTTGTGGATTTGGAGAAGGCATTCAACCGTGTCCCTCTCGGCACCCTGTGGGGGGTGCTCCGGGACTATTGGGTCCGGGGCCCTCTGCTGAGGGCTGTCCGGTCTATGTACGACCAGAGCAGGAGTTTGGTTTGCATTGCCAGCAGTAAGTCAGACTTGTTTCCAGGGCATGTTGGACTCCGGCAGGGCTACCCTTTGTCACCAGTTCTGTTCATTACTTTTATGGACAGAATTTCTAGGTGCAGCCGGAGGGAGTCCAGTCTGGGGACCACAGGATCTCTCCACTGCTTTTTGCAGATGACGTTGTCCTGTTGGCTCCATCAAACCAGGACCTTCAGCATGCACTGGAACAGTTTGCAGCCGAGTGTGAAGCGGCTGAGATGAAAATCAGCACCTCCAAATCCGAGGCCATGGTTCTCATTCAGAAAAGCGTGGCTTGTTCCCTTCAGGTTGGTGGAGAGTTCCTGCCTCAAGTGGAGGAGCTCAAGTATCTTGGGGTCTTGTTCACAAGTGAGGGAAGGATGGAACGGGAGATTGACAGGCAGATTGGTGCAGCTTCTGCAGTCGATGTACCGGTCTGTACATCGTAAGGCGAAGCTCTCAATTTACAGGTCGATCTACATTCCTACTCTCACCTATGGTCTTGGCCGAAAGGGCAAGATCCTGGATACAGGTGGCCGAAATGAGCTTTCTCCGCAGGGTGGCTGGGTGCACCTTTCCCCCCCCGAGCAATAGTAACATATACAATAACAAGGCAATAAGAAGCATTCAACCCATACAAGGTATAGTCACCTTACATTAACAACATAGATCAGTGATTTGCTCGAAACGAAGTGGGAAGAAGTCAGACTTATTTAAACCCACCCCGGTCTGTTACAATTACCCTCAGAGATAGGGTGAGGAGCTCGGTCACTCAAGAGGAGCTCAGAGTAGAACCGCCCCTGGGGAAGACCCAGGACACGCTGGAGGGACTATATCTCTCGGCTGGCCTGGGGACGCCTCGGCATTCGCCCGGGGGAGCTGGAGGAAGTGTCTGGAGAGAGGGAAGTCTGGGCATCTTTGCTTAAACTGCTGCCCCCGTGACCCGGTCTCGGATAAGCGGAAGAAGATGGATGGATGAACCAAAAACTGCAACCCCGTAACCATTAATCTTATGAACATTCCACCCCTAACGAGCACCAATGAATGCTTTAGCTCACCTCAGGTAGCAGCACATCTAAGACAAAGCGGACACACTCCATGTTCTTCACCTCAGCCAGGCAAGGGGCAGGGGCCACTGCTGAGGCATAAAGATCATTTAGGTACCAGTAGACCTGGTCCAGTTGCTTGTCATCTTCCAGGTAATAGTTCACCACCCGTCTCCGATTAGCACTTAAAAAGGACCGAAGCCACCTGGACTGCTGCTGCCCACAGATAACGGCCTATAAAAGAGAGTGATGCTGTAAGTTTGGATTTATTCATCCAGGGACGGGCGCTCAACTAGCATGCTCCTTTTTAGTGAGACCTACAATGCCTGTTAAAAACATGAACCACACCGGCTAATGAAGTTTTGTTTCTTGACATTAGAATCTCAGTAGATGCCATTAGTCTCCCTTCCACTCAATAGCAGATTCAAATATGAAACAAAGTAATATGTAAAAATCTGGAAAAAACTCAACACTCTCAAACTTACACCCATGCCTCTGTTTGTTTAAGCTTTGCATGCCTATTTGTCTGTGCAAAACCAGCTGAGCTCTTGCAAATTATACAACTGGGAGTGAACAAAAACTACTGACTGTCTGGCGCCTCAGCACCCTATTCACAAAGGCAATCAGTTTTTAAGGATGGCTTGTTTTGGCTCAACTTACAGCTGGGCCATTTTTTAAACAAACACCTAATTATTAAATGCCTTCAGAAATGATCAACAATCCTTTTGCTAATTGATACTTAACATTTTTATGACACATCTGTAATGTTTTAATCTACATGTTGCTTTCACCAGGTAACTCTCCACCCAGCTTCCAGAAGCAGGTGTATTAGCTAAAGCAATACGGATCACGCCTTGATTTCATGCAAACCACCTCTCCTTGTGCATTTGTTGTGTGATATATCTGTATATTTTTGTGCACTAAATTTGTACATAATCCACTGGTCAATGTTCTAACTGGCCTTATAATGTTACAGACATCAGCTAAAATGCTTAACAATCAGATCATATACAGTATTTCATGTCCAATTTACAGTGAATAAAATGTTTCTCATTACATAAACATTTGTGGGACATGGAAAACATTCAACACAAGGGATTCATTCAAATCACTGGAGAAAGTTAAACATGTACAACTCATTCATCTCCTCAAATTACTGATAGTGTTAAAAAGGCTATAATGAATGTCGTCTAGTTGGACGGTACATCCACAGGTAGTAATACTCTTCCACAGTTCGCAAACTAGTTAATCCAAGAACAAGAGCAGGCTACAAACATACCAGAAGGCGTCCTTCCACCATGCGCTGCTTGACAATGAAATGTACGAGTTTCTCATTAGCACGGTTGTGGGCGGCATGGGTGCGGTCTGGCAGTAGCCTTTTTGAGCACCGGCTGACCTCCTCCTGCTGCTCACTGAAGCTGTCCTCCTTATGATCGTCAAACAGCTCCTCCATCATCGGTCTCTCAGAGGCTGCCTGCGGGTATTTCCTCCTCACTGGGTAACCTGAAGCAGTTAGGGAGAAACATCAAAGAGCATCATCGGGATCAAGTAGAGCTGCAGGTGTAACTCAGTCAAATATCCTGTGGTACCATTTTAATGACTGTCACAAAACAAAGCTTACTCATGTCATGAGCAAAGTACTCGATGAAGGAGCCAGAAAATGAGCCACATGCTACAAAGACAAACCATGATTAATACACCTATTAATGCAGAGGTATCAGAAGAACACTGCTGATAAGCATTGAACGGCCAATACTCACCGATTCGTATCCCGTAGTCTGTTATGAGCTCCAAGGCCCACTCAATTGCTGTGTCGTACTTTTCTTTGGCTTTACACTGTGATAAAACCAATGTGACAGACATATTTAAACTGCCACTGTCAGAAAAACGTTGAACATATAATTTACGAGCAATTCTTACCACCAGCTCTTTCGATTCTTCACAGTCAAAGGGCTTCAAGGTTTTCAAAGCCACAGTAAACCTTCAACAAAAAAACACAACTGAAAAAAAATCCTGATGATTTGTTGCTCGCACTTCACTCATTAGTGCCGTTTACATATTTTGTGCATCACATCAGAATATATACAAGGAATTTTACTACCACATAGGGTGACAAATTTTCAGACACCAAAGTTGGTGATCCCTAAGTCACATTTTGTCTACATGATCAAGACGAATGGTGCAGAGACTCTGTGACCCAGGGAACCTCACAACCTATAGCGCAATCCTATTCACTAAAAGTACAAAAGCACTAGCCCACAAATCAGAGAGACAACAGAATTATTTCTTACCCTTTCTTTCTGTGAATTGTTATGTCATCAACGAACATGACACTTGCTTTTTTCTGCTTGTGGTTGACACTTTTAACCTGCAGGAATTAAAACAGTAGAGATTTTAAACAAGTTGTATTAGGTTAAGTCATTAACTGAGCAGAAATTCCCTATTACCAAGCTTCTCAAATGTGAAACATTACTGATTTGCTGGATATATACAAATGTTAATAAACTTGTGATGTGTTCCATTTAAACAACTTTATAAAAGCTTGTGCTGAGAAACTATCAACACAGATTTTTGTACTTACCAGTGCAGGCCAGAATGGGTAATTTCTAAATTTGCACCACACAAATACTCCCTCTCTAATAGATCGGGGCTCTGAAACACAAGAATATAAACAATCCACTTAAGACACATAATCCAGTCCACATTCAGTCCTCGTAGGTGGGGTGCATTCAGTCACAGCAGTGTCTCTCACTTTTGCCAATTTGCATCAAGAAACTTGGCAGGTCCTCCTCCTCTTCATCATCACTTTCCTCATCTTCCTGGAAGGACTTAAATGGCAGTGGTTCCTCATAGTGACTCAGCTCTATTGACAGATCTGAAGACAGTAAAGATGCGCCTTTATGGGGCGTACAGGGGACAAGCAAGAACAGAATTAAAACAGATCATTTTATTCCCTTGAATTCTCTATGAGCAGAAGTTACAAACCTAATACACATAAATCCACAAAAGTACAATATATTTTAAATTTTTGTATCAATTTTGGCTGCATACAGGTCATTATGTTTTAGAATACGAAGGTGGCAACCTCCTAAAATACACCATTTCTTGAAATTCTTAAAAGCCTTATCTTGAATCTGCATGAGACAAACACTACAAAGAACCTACATTCCTCTGCCAGTTCAAATTTGGGTCTTGGGCGTTCCGATGATTGACTAGTGGTACCCCTCTGCAAATTCCCTGTCTTGATCTTCCGTGGCCTACCACGCGGACGCTTGACTGGTGGATTGTTGGTTTCACTGCAGGTCTCCTTCTGCTGCCTT